CGTAATGAGTTTTTAATTTGTTTGTTTCTATATGTTTTCCAGTAAAAATGTCTAAAAAAACTAGATAAATTTACTTGAGAAGCAGCAATAAGATTTTAAAATGAGAGTATTTTGTCTTACTGCACTGGCACTGATTTCTTTTTTGTTTTTTTGTAATGTGTTTATATTAAAAACTAGTTGGGATCTTATGCAGTGTTGCTTCTCAAGGAAATTTGTCTTGTCTTGAATATTTAGATATTTTAATAAAAAACAACACAACAATACTCATTACAAATATTTTTTTTTTGGCAGTTTTCCATTTATTTGCATACTTTCTGGCATTTATTGGCAGGTTGCATGCAGAATGTCATGTAGTTTTTCAATCCCGACTGACAGCATTTTTTTTTTGTGCAGCGTATTGCAGTGTTTAGATGTGCTGGAAAACAAGATAAAAATACGCCATGCATTGAATGTATGCATGTGTGCATGCTAATGTAAATGCCAAGGCTGTCTCATCCAGGAATTACTATGGTAACGTTCATTGGTAATTAGAGGAAGCTGCTAAAGGAATAATTACGGCGACTTGTTCTTGGGGCCGCTGTTAGTTAAAGTGAGTTTGACAGGGTTAGCGGGACAGATGGAAATGTTCAGCTCTAATGAGCAGGACGCTTCCTCTCTTTGCCACAATATGCGTAATATATTACTGCTGATTCAGGTTGGCCGGTCTGTGGCCCAGAGCGCGGATCTAATGGAGAGATGAATCGCTTGGCGCCGGATCGCTGACAGGAGAATGTCAGTATCTGGGAAAGAAGCTCACAAGCTGTAAAGAGGCTGAAAAATGAACCGTCAGCTGCTAAACAAACACACTAATGCTAGAAAAACAAACTGTGAGGTGCTAAAACTTTCTGTCTCTCAGTGTGTGTGTGTGTGTGTGTGTGTGTGTGAGAGAGAGAGACTTGGATATTTTCATTTAGCAGAACTACTTTTTTACTGACTCCAAATGAGATTTTTCTGTCTGGCCGAGACGTGATGCAACTTTCAGAAAGCTTTGCGAATAAATAATTCACTTTGAGAGAGTTTTCTTGATGATTCACTGATAACTGAACGAACTGAATCTTTCCTGAAACGATTGAAGCATCCAAAAGGGCAAATTTCATTTCTGATGGAGAGCGCAGAAATGGGAACGCAGATGTGAAGATTATGGGTCGTGAATGGTTAAGGAATCAAAATGTCCTTGATCTCATCCGGTTCATTGTATTACGAAACATACTGTAACTTTCACAGGGAAGAAAAACAAAAGGCATGTATTGAAATTGCAAAGAAGATCATCCCAGAATGCATTGCAATAAGATGATGGATTTCAGTAATAAACGTTTATTATTTGTGTATCTTTTTATGTTTATTAGAGTATTGTGTTGTTATCACCTCAATATGCTTATACTGTATATAATGCTGCAAAATTAATTATTGTTTTTGTTGTTTTTTCTGTACAAATATCTGAACATTCTTAAATCAAGATACATGTTCTGGAAATGTAAGATATTAAGTCTTATTTTTGATGCATTTTTTCATAAAACAAGTAAGTTTTTGCTTAAGACAAGAACAAATGTCTGTCAATGGGGATGGAAAAATAAACTTTATTCAATGGGAAAACATTTTTATTATTATTATTATTATTATTATTATTATTGTTTAGAAAACAAGAGTTTATATCTTAAGTAATTTTGCCTCTCAAATAAATGTATCTAATGTATCTGATGTTTAAATATTTTAATGAAAAACAAGACAAAAATACTAATGAATAAATAAATAATGTTTAACGAGTTAATTTTTTTGACCCCATTTGCAGATATTTGTTCTTGATTTAAGCATAAAGTTACTTCATTTAAAAAAACACAAATTTTTACCTTATGCAATTTTGCTTCTCAAGTAAATCTGATTTAAGTATGTTTAGATGTTTTACTGGAATGCAAGACATAAATACTGAGAAATATTATTATTATTGTTTAGAAAACAAGAGTTTATATCTTAAGTAATTTTGCCTCTCAAATAAATGTATCTTGATTTAAGGATGTTTAAATATTTTAATGAAAAACAAGACAAAAATACTAATGAATAAATAAATAATGTTTAACGAGTTAATTTTTTTGACCCCATTTGCAGATATTTGTTCTTGATTTAAGCATAAAGTTACTTCATTTAAAAAAACACAAATTTTTACCTTATGCAATTTTGCTTCTCAAGTAAATCTGATTTAAGTATGTTTAGATGTTTTACTGGAATGCAAGACATAAATACTGAGAAAAATGTAGTTGGTGTTTACTTCCAGTGGAGTCAGAAAAATAAATTTAATTTGAGTTTTTCTGACCCCATTTGGAGATATTAGTCCTTTAAAAAAATCACTTAATTTTGATCTTTTATGTTATAGTAATTTGTTTCCTTCAAAATATATATTGATTAAAAAATACTTAAAGAATATTCTGATATTTCATTGAGGAACATGACATAAATACTAAGAAACATTAAGTGAGTTTATACTTTTAAACAAGAAAAAATCTCTTTCAGTTGGGTCAGAAAAAAATAACATTAATACAATGGAAAAACTGTTTTATTTTTCTGATCCCATTGGCAGATATGTTTCTTGTTTTAATCCCAAATTGATTTAATTTTGAGAAAAATATCTGATGTAATTGTGCTTCTCCAGTAAATGTATCCTGATTTATGAACGCTTAGATATTTGTGCTGGAAAACAAAACAGATATACTGAGTAAGAATCAAATCTCCACTGAGTTGCTGCCTATGTAGTGTGCTCCAAATCTTAGTTAAGATGCTCCCTATGTAGGGTGTACACACCAAGGCAGCTGACTATAGGTTTCAGAAACACTCTAAAAAATGCTGGGTTAAATATAACCCAGTGCTGGGTTAAAAAGGGACAAACCTAGCTATTGGGTTGTTTTGACCCAGCGGTTGGGTTGTTTTGACCCAGCTATTGGGTTGTTTTGACCCAGCGGTTGGGTTGTTTTGACCCAGCTATTGGGTTGTTTTGACCCAGCGGTTGGGTTGTTTTGACCCAGCTATTGGGTTGTTTTGACCCAGCGGTTGGGTTCAAAACAACCCAATAGCTGGGTTTGTCCCTTTTTAAGCCAGCGCTGGGTTATATTTAACCCAGCATTTTTTAGAGTGAAGGAAGGCCTTTAGCGTAGTTAAAATGCTCCACGCGTGTGTAATGATCAGACTCGGTCCGTGTAAGTGCTACTGACACCGTCCTTAACTTTAGTCGTCTTTAATCACTTTAAACAGACACTGGAAAGCCGTGAAACCTTCCTCTCCACTCGCAGGACCGAGATCACCTCTGTGACAGACGCTGAAGGGCGCGATTAAGCATTCAGTGCGGCTTCCCCGACATCTGAATCAATCTCGCGCTCTGAAAGAGAGCCAGAGACAAAGAAAGATGTTCCCTACTGTCATTTGATCCTTCAGGTGAAGGAAAATAATGGAAATTTCCTCTCAGGTCATGAATAACGCCGCTGTAATGATGTAGGCCTCTTCATGAAACCAAAACAGCAGTTCTGAGGATCGATTGCTGTTGAAGAAAATACAAAAGGTTCATTGGGTCTGTGAGGCAAAACCTGGCGCTCGACGTGTGGACAGACGGTTCAATCAGCAGAAATTACAGGTTGCAGAGATGATTAGTTGTATGGAGCTTTCCAGGTGCTAATTATCACGTCTGGATCAGTGAAGGTCGTGCCGATACGAACAGAACATGTGTTTCCGCGGGGTTACTGTTGTTAACTAAAACTATCAGAAACGTTTTTGGTAAAAGGCATGAAGCTAACATAATATATAAATATTTGATGAAAAACGTAATGAAAATTAGATTTCAGTTGGCCCTTCTTTCTCTGTATTCTTCTATTTTCTGTAGGTTCATTGTTTTTATTTATTGCAACATATCCAAACATGAATCTCGACTGTGTTGTATGAATACATGCACGTTTTTGTTGTTTTAATAGAAAAAACATTAACATAATTTGTGAATTCGTCTAGTTAATATGAGGTATTTCACTGTTTTAGCTTTTTGAGAGGAAAAGTCAGTGTTGTGTATTTATTTATTTATTCCAGCTTTTAGTGCATCAAGTCAAACAGAATTAAAATGAGAACTGTTTTTTGATTGAATAAATAAATATTTATTTTATTTTAAACAAAAATATTTTTTAATCATTTTAATTAAAATTTTAACCCTGGTTGATGTTTTCTTAATTTGTTGTGAAAGTGCAATAATTCTATAAGATATTCAATCATAGTGATTAATAATTAGAATTAGATTAGAATTTTTGGGCAAAATAATCTTGATTATTAGTTTAACCTTTATCGTGCAGCCCTGATTCATTGAATTTACTAAAAATGTTTAAGCTAAGTGGTTGCAATCAATGTATTTTAGCTACATTTAAATAAACAGATTTAGTTGACTAACTTTCAACATTTTTTTAATGTAGCTAAAATAAATTGTTTGCAACCACTTACCTTAAAAAATTTAGTATCATTATTTTCAGTGTATATTTATTTATTTTGTGTTGTCATTACATGATGCTGTTGTTATAAAGTATGCATTTGTCCTGCCTTAACAATGTTTTGGGCAATGTGTGATTGTTTTTGTGTTGTAATGTGTTGAAGTTTATAAAAATATAATTAAAAAAGAAAGAAAGAAATGTTGCCATGGTTGAAGCACTAACTTAAAAAAACTTAACTAAATTAAAAATAAATTAAGCTTAAATAGTAATATTTTAAAAGAACAAAAACTAATAAAAATTCAAAAAGTGCATAGCAATTTCTAAAAATAAAAACTGAAATTATAGAAATAAAAGCTCATTCAAAAACATAATAATGTATAAGTATATTAAAATGTAGTGGTATAAGTGTCTCATCGCATACACATCATCATGATCTTATGTGTCAAGCATCGCGACACATGCACTACTCTTATTGGTTTAAATGTTAAATGTGGTTTCTCTTTGCCATCTCAGGTCGTCTCCTGCGTCTGAAGATGTTTCGTGAGGACCACGGCTCTTGGATGACCATGTTTTTCAGCACGATTCTCTCGCTCTTCATCTTCTCTCACATCTATAACCTCATTCTGCTCATGAGCGGACGGATGGGGTAAGAGATATCTTGTCTTTAAGTAGAAAAAAATTGTTCCTTCATTCCCTCCGCCCAGCTTTTCTGATTGGGGATGGCCCTTGTAAGGAGTTCAACAATTTCTGGCTCTTTAATTCCATTAATGATTCTTTAATTCTTTTTAGAAAGTCCCAGTAATTGGTCGTAACTATTAGATGATAGTAAATGAGTCCAGAACCGCTGATTGATTCAAATGGATGACTGGTGGTTCAAATCTTTGAGTGTGTTTGGGGCTGAATCATGATGCTTTTTGAGTGATTCAGTTGAACGAACCAACTCATGAGATGTATTTGTTCATAATTCATCTTACATAACAACTGATTTGTGAGGTTTTTTTTTTTGGGGTGATTCATTCAAAAGAACCAACTAAAAGAATCTTTACTGAATCAGACTACACTGATCGTTCTGTATGTTTGTTGTGTGCAGAAATGCAACAGAAAGAAGATCATTTAATGCAGTTGTATGGTTCAGTAAACTGATTGATTCGAATGGATGACTCAGGGATTCAAATCTTTTGAATGCGTCTGATTTATGATTCTTTTCGATCAAACCAGCTCATGAGATGCATTTGTTCGTAAATCAGACTACATAATAACCATAGAGTTCAAGATTGATTTGTGAGTATTTTTGAATGATTCATAATAAAGAACCAGCTAAAAGAATCATTACTGAATCAGACAGCATTGATCGTTCGTCATGTTTGTTGTCGCGTGCAGAAATGCAGCAGAAAGATGTTTATTTATTGTCATTGTATGGTTTAGTAGTATCCAGTACTGCTGATTGATTTAAACAGATGACTCAGGGATTCAAATCTTTTGAGTGTGTTTGAATCTGATTTATGACTCTTTTTGAGTGATTCAGTTAAACGAACCAGCTCATGAGATGTATTTTTTTGTATGAATCAGACTACATATTAACCATAGAGTTTGAGAATTTTTAGAGATTCATTAAAAAGAACCAGCTAAAAGGACCATTACTGAATCAGACTACATTGATTGTTCTTTATGTTTGTTGTCGTGTGCAGAAATGCAACAGAAATTGTTTTATTTATTGTCATTGTATGGTTTATCAAATGAGTCCAGAACCACTGATTGATTTAAAACAGATGATTCAGTGATTCAAATATTTTGAGTGTGTTTGAATTTGATTCATGATGCTTTTTGAGCGATTCAGTTAAACAAACCAGCTCATGAGATGTGTGTGTTCGTAATTCAGACAACATGTTAACCATAGAGTTCAAGACTTTCAAAAGATTCATTAAAACGAACCAGTTAAAAGAATCATTACTGAATCAGACAGCATTGATCGTTCGTCATGTTTGTTGTCGCGTGCAGAAATGCAGCAGAAAGATGTTTATTTATTGTCATTGTATGGTTTAGTAGTATCCAGTACTGCTGATTGATTTAAACAGATGACTCAGGGATTCAAATCTTTTGAGTGTGTTTGAGTCTGATTTATGACTCTTTTTGAGTGATTCAGTTAAACGAACCAGCTCATGAGATGTATTCGTTTGTAAAACAGGCTACATAACTGTAGGGACTTTTGAAATAGATTCATCAAAAAGAACCAGCTTAAAGAATCATTAGTGAATCAGACTACATTGATTGTTCTGTTTGTTGTTCCGTGCAGAAATGCAACAGAGAGATATTTATCATTTTTGTATGATTTTACTCAAAAATGTCATTGCACTGCAATTCTGCACAAGAATGGCTCTCTATTCTCTCCTGAGGGATTGATTTGACCAGCCGTGCATGAATCCTATAAGCTTTAAGTGCGTTTAAGCACTGACCCGAGAATCTGCTTTACATTATCTGAGGACGTATGATCTCAGATCAGCTCATGTGCAGACTGTCAACCGTGGGCTGTTTGAAAACATGGCGCCGCTTCAATTTTCCACGATAAGATGGATGCCTCACTTACGGTTCGATTCGCCATCTAATGTTGAGCTCTGCACACAGCCGATGCTTTCACATTAAACTCCACTGTTTGGAGGATGGCTGCACCATTTTTCAGTGAGATTGAATGTTGAGCGATCGTGTCGCCATACGTCTTCTCAAGGTTAAACGCGGTCAGCGGTGAGCATGGCAGTCCTGCCGATTGTTCCTGGCCATAAAACACCATCAGAACGAATGTTTGTGAGCGCAGGTTGGACTGATCAAAGACTAGTTTGATACATTTGTGAGTGCGAGAAACCTTTGTTGTTTTATTAAATCATCACAACTTTGATGAACAAAGATATGAAGAGTGCAGATGGGCAATATTCTCAGACCTTTCCATCGCTGCTGTAATAATGACTGATGTTGAAGTGACTTGAAATGTCTTCGAGCAACTTTTAGCAATATCTTCTAACCAGATCATAAAAGATTTCATCCAAAACTGAATAATCTGGGTTTTCATGAGCAGAGTGCTAAATCTGCCAAACTTCACAGAACAGACACTAAATGTCTAAACAGATGCTCTCTCTTCCAAAACCTAGTGAGCTGCCTTGCTGTCTACTACCTACATAGGCAGCTGTTTTCTGCACTGTAAAAAGTAATGAGTTGAACTTACTTGGAAAACCTGTGGAAATCTATTTATCTTCTTTTTTTATTAGAAAAAGTGTGTGTGTGTTTGTATATGTGTGTGTATAATATATATATATATATACATTGTCCTCATTTGTAAGTCGCTTTGGATAAAAGCGTCTGCTAAATGACTAAATGTAAATGTGAG